ACAAATAAAGTTTCAGAATCACCATCGAGTTTAAGAATTCTTACAAATACACTTTCTATTTAAAATATTTTCTACTTCGTTCGTGGCTATCAATATTTTTATTTTAAATTTAACCAGCTTTCAAATGTGTTTATTTTTATATCAAAATGACATCCACTTTTTTACAATACAAGAGTAATTTTTATACAAATGATACACACAAGATTCTCATGTTATTTTTAGATTACTAACAAACTTCCTTAAACACAGAGAATTATAAAACTAGAAAAAAAACATCCTAAAGCATAATCTAGCTCTGATCAGAGATTGTACGCTATCATCAAATAATTAGTTGACCTCGTTAAGATCTTGCTTTCAGTTCTGGTTTAATCGAGTCCCTTTTTATGAACTGAATTAATTTAAGAATAAAAAAATAACAGAATAAGGTACAGCAATGTTATTCGTCCCAATGTTTTAATTATATTTATATAGGGATGCAAAACATTTTTATTATCAATTAAAATACTAATACAATAATTATTTAAAAAATAAACTGCAAATTCCAATTAGGTTTTGATTGAATCAAAAAATTGTGCACTATGTGCGCATATCTGAAGTGAAACTTCTTCTTACTTACGTCTGCCTGTCTATCCGTCTGGACTCCATTCGGGTACTTCTATCCACGTGCCGAGTTTGCTTTCAATCGAGCCATAATTAAGAAAAATCCTGATGATTTTATCCATTTAGAGGCATCGGTTCGAAATAGCAAGGGCCCATCCTGTAGCCCATACCCGACCCCTATTTTTTTTTTTCAATACATATATCAAATCGTATCCAACTTTGCAGGTGGAACCGCGTGCACCGTCGCTCACATAGCCTACCCACCAAATTTGGTCGCGATCGGATGACATAAACTTTTTTTTTCTTACGTCAAAACTGTCACAGTGACACGTGTCGTACACGGTCAAGTTGGCCTTGAGTAATTAGTATGGGGCTTTAGAGAATTCAACAAATAACTTGCCATATATTATATTTGCCCATACTTTTTATTTATTTTTATAAGATATATACATTCTTCTACTTCATACAAGTACAAAATACGTATATCTTAAGCCACAAAAATCCATCCATCCATATCCATACATATATAAAAGCTCTCAAAGGGTTTTATTAAATCCATCCCGCCTAAACCGCTTCACCAATCTTGATGATTCTTTTTTTAAATGAAAGGTATATTTGTCTAGATTTGTTATGAAGTATTTTTATATTGTTTAATGACTATTTCTTTGTATAAAACGACTATATACTAAAACATACCTGAAAAACACCTACACACAATATCTCCAGAAATAAATGATTTGTCATTGTCAGTGGTGTCAGTTAGATTACATATCAAGTTTTTAGATATTTTAGGCATCAGTTCATACCGCCAGCTTTAGATACATAAATATTAGCACAAAGGTTCGTTTACACGACACTAGTGAATAAGCTACACAAAGCGATTTTAGGAAATTCATCCTCTTAGAGAGTAAAATTATGTCGGAACAATTTGTTGTATGAAAATTGCTTACTATCTGGTCTAGAAGAATGAAATCCTACAAAAAAATTAGAACAGATTTAATGATTGAAATTTATCAACTAAATAGGTAAAGTTGGTAAAAATTTATATAAAACTTGGTGACCTCTGGATTACACACATAAAGATTGGCAGAAATGATCATTTGAAAGACACGAGTTAATTATTTGGATAAAGCGAATTTATGACATTTATAACCTTAGGGAGTAGAATAGGGAATGAAAGTTTGCTATACGAAAATGCATTACTATAACATCTAGCAGTATACAATTTTATACAAGGGTTTATTTAGTGACATCATATAACTATTTTATTATATATAATTATCTATATTATTATATATAAATATTTCTTCTTCAAATCATCCTTCAAGGAATAAGAAATAACGTATAAAGAAAGTGCTCTTAATAAATAAAAAAAGATGAAAAATCAAAAAATATCAAGGGAGTATTATCAAGAAAAGCGAGAATTGAAAACTTCAAATATTCAATTGGAAACTTCATATATCAAAACTATTTATTTTAGAAATAGAGTTTATATGGGATCATAGGTAGGGTTCTATCTATATAGAGGGTAAATAGTCATTTCACTGTTTATTATTTTGGGGAGTTTTTTTTCAGATTTTGCAAAATTTCGATTTCTAAAATACCCTATACATAAGTAAGAAATAAAAAAACCGCCACGAAAGAGCGCCATTCACCCTCTATCCAACCATACATAATTAGTTTCAGTCAATGGAAATAGTTAGAAAAAAATTGAAAAAGGGTTAAAAAACAAGATTTCAAAAAAATTAACTTCTTTGAAATATTTTGATTTCGATAACTTTTAAAATTATTAAGATTATTTATTTCAGACTAGTCTAATCAAAAGTTTTATTTTTCCAAAGTCATATACAGCCTATGAAAAATTATAAAATGATTTTTAAATTTTCGGATTTTTTTAAATACATATTAATATTTAAAGAGAATAAAAATTCTCTTGAAATTGGCATATTGACGTCTTTTATAAATTTTAAGTAAAAATGTGAAATAAGTCAAAAATAACAAAATCGATTTTTTCAGGGCAAGTCTTAAATAAGTGCAATTATTTTTAGCAGTAGTTACTCAGAAACACGATTATGAGTATTTTCGGTAAAGAAAAAATATGTTTTTTTTTATCATGATCTACCAGCCCTGAAAATATTTGCAACTTTCAAATGAAATACGAGTAGCTCTAAAACTCTTAAACACAGTTTAAAAATATACTCTGAACCAGGAAAGAAGACGATTGCATAATCATATTATTTTGTAGTAAAGACAATCGATTTACCATTTCAAATGTGTTAGAAAGAGTCATTCCCTAATAGCATGACCTAACTTTAATATGTCATCGGTCATAACCTCGTGACCTTATCACCGACGCACAGTGCTTCGTCCCATGGACAAAAATCGAAAAAAAAGTTAAAATTTACTAATATCTGAATATGTAATTTTATACTTATAGCAATGTTCAACCATCCTGTATATTATTTTTCATAAACAGCGTTTTTTTGTTAGCAAATATTTTCACTAAAAATAAATTTTGCGATCAGTATCTTATATCAATGAAAAGAATAACATTCATAGTAGTTCTGTATATGGAGTTAAACGTAAACGAGTTAGTACGTACTTAATTGAAAGCCACTATGGATATTGTTAAACAAGGTATGTACTTTAAATTTATTTCTAAACAAGTTCGTGATTGTTTAGTTTTTATTTATTTTTTAAAATGATTCTTAAATGGGTATAAAAATTTTACGTTTTCAAACTTCAAAAAAGCATTTAAAAAAGACATTTCAAAACATATCGTATTTATTGAATATTTTTGTTGTCATATTCATACACTTTTAACTTTTGTATAGTTCACCTGCGTCTGCTTGCGACGAACTTTATTTTATAATACTTTTCAGATGGAGTAAAATTGATAAGCAATGCCGATCTGGTTAATACTTGGCTTGATCATAAGGACAAGAACTCAAAATTATTTGTATTTCAAAAAATGTGTTCTTTATTAGATACTGATGAACATTCCAGTCAAATGAGACCATTTATGCCTGAAAAAGACCACTATTTTGGAGCGAAACGTCGCATAAAAAAGTTTCCATCTTTCAATTTATTATAAAACCTCATACCCAAGAAAACGAAAAAATAATATATTGATATGGTCTATTAAAGAGGTAACTATTCACATCCGAACCCCTCATACCAACAAAAAGAACAGTAACAACGCGAAAAAGTAACATATTAGAAAATGATGTACAGAAATATCTTATATGTGAGGATATTTCATCCACCTGTGATTTGGATACTATAAATTTGGAAGATTCTGTCAGCAGTGATTCTTCTGAATCAGAGTAGTTACGATTTATGCATTTTGTTGTCCTAAAGTAAATTTATAGTATCTTAAGTTTTTTTTTTAATTAAATATAGCATTAATGTTTCTTTTTCATTAAAGAAAAACATTTATATTTTATATTGGCTTATATTGTAGGAATCATGTTCTAATGTTATTCCAATTCTTTTTTATCACAGGGATTTATTTAATACTTACACCGTTTTCATACTATAAATTATTATTTCCTTAGATGGAACACAGCTCCCACATTTTTATTATTTATAAGATGTTTTTTCATAAACGTGGGACTAAGAACATCATCATTTAGTACAATGAGAGTACTCATCATTTGTGTCAAATAAACCTAGTTTGAATAAATTGCCTACAATAAAAAAGAAGTTTTGCATTTTTGTCCTCTAGAGCCATATGTTCGAAGCACTGTGCGACGTACGTACGTTTATATTTCGTATAATTTATAATATTACGCAGTCGTCTTCTTTCCTGATTCAGAGTTTATATATTTTATCTATTAACAAGTAATCAATAATTTAAATCAATGCATCAGCGATTCGAGGTGTAACGCCGAAAGTAGTCGCGAGAAAAAGCTAGTATAACAATAAATTCAACATTTCACGAATTTTCTTAGGGCAATTAAAAGTAAACTAAAGCCAGTAAGCGCTTTAATGAAATGAATTTCTAAATTTGACTTATAAAGCAGCTAATAAAAACGAGATATACTGCCTTTTATCGATATTTTCGGTACACCAATCGTCCAAAACAAAATCTGATAACTGAATTAGAAAAATGGACATAAAATAACACTTAAAATGATATAGTAAGCCATAAATCAAATGTTATGAAAATACAATTTCTATAAACAAGTCTGCACCAGCTTTCTACCCGAAACGAACAATATCTCATTTCTTTCACACCTCGTAACTATAAAGTTTTTAAGCAAATATCCATTTTAGGTTAATCATATTTAACTGACGCACATTACAAAGAACGGGCTGGTTTAGTGACACTTCAGCACGAACTTAAATTATGTCTGAAGTAGGTACATCTTTTGTTTATTCACTTTTAAATTTTTCAGCTTAATATCGCACAGAAAAGATCCAAACCGTAAAGAAAATGAAATCGAACCTTACAGTCCCAGTCATCACAATCGCAGGTATCCTAGTAGGCCAGGCAATGCAGCTGATATACAAAGAATTATTGCCAAAGCCGAGAGAGAAGCTTTTGTAAGTATGTCTTAGAATGTTCCTATGGACTTTATAAATAACATGAGAAAATTAAACTTACAATTTTCATTCACTATAGCTATAATGTCTGTATAATTTTACATGAAATTAAAATGATATACCGGGTGCGTCTCAAAAGTGGCTCACCCCTATAACTTTTTTATTTTATCAGATAAAAAAACCAGATTTGGTATGTTAGCATGACATAAATTAGGATTGATTGACGTATTCACTTGTTTTCTGTCACTTCCTTTTTCACCGGAAATGAATACAACTTTTGATTTTTAAATGACATCCTCGGTATTTTTTTACTTTATTCGATGGAAAATGACATTCCAAAATGGAATGATATATCATATGTCCACTTTTGACATTTTTGCTTAAAACAAAATTGAATTTTAAATTTCAATCTAGAGTGCCATGGCTGTGTTAAAAACACTAATTTTTAATCAAGGAGCCTTGGAAAAATAGATTTGATCGTCTAATGTTATTCGTGTCTTGTCCGGGTCAGTTAAAAGATGCACAAATCGTATTTTTAATCATATCTCAATTTTTTCAAATGGAACGAGGGTGGCTCATTAGCATATTTGGAAAAATCATTTTTTTGCGAATAATTTGGTACCACACACTTGGTGTTTTGAATCAAATTATCGTTATGAATCGCATGTTGCAATTTCAAATAAACCATATTCATTATATCATTCTATTCAGAGTGTCATTTTTTATCGAATAAAGTAAAAATATACCGAGGGTGCCATTTAAAAATCAAAAGTTGTAGTCATTTCCGGTTAAACAGGAAGTGACAGAAAACAATTGAATACGTCAATCAATCCTAATTTATGTCATATATTAATATACCAAATTTCGATTTTTTATCTGAGAATATAAAAAAGTTATAGGAGTGAGCCACTTTTGAGACGCACCCGGTATACTTGGGCTCTTTACGTTTATTAGTTTTGGGCATTATGTCTTGAACATTTAATTATCATTTATGTAATAGTTGGTTTGCATTGATTGATATGTGATAAGTTAGTTAGCACCACAGCTTATTTAGTACCAGCTATCTTAGTTTTATTTCGAGTACCTGCGTTTTACCTTCCTCGCTTGTTCTCGTAGTAGATTACAACAAAACATACATTTTTCTTAACTTTCTGGTCGTCTTATGTTTATTTTGATTTTACTTTCTGGCGGTTCGAGTAAAACCTTACAACTCTTCTATTTAAAGATTTTATAGACTAATAATAGGTAAGCATGCAGATATCGCACTAATTTATCTGAAAAAAACGTGCACAAAAACAAAAATTCTTTAAAGCTGCTTTATGAAAAGGAATTTTAGATTTATGAGTGAATTACTATATATTCAACATTCGAAAAGTAGTACTTACCATAGCGTACTCAGAACCAAGCTGGTGCTGAGTGTTTCTGACCTAAAATAGAACCTTCTATTAAAATTCAATTAATTCTATAATCAATGACTAATAATTTTTACACATTGGTAGACAAATTAGGTGACAGTTAGTGACAGTATAGAAGAGTCCTTTGTTTTACTTGGGAGTTACGTTCATTGACAATTCATTGACAACACTACGTGAACAGAAACCGCGTATATCATATTGATAGTAAGAACAAACAAAACACAACAAAACAAAATCTGATTACGTAACTACCATATGATCGAAAAAAATCAGACGTCAAAGACGGCTTGGAATGGCAATCGATCATAATTTTGGCAAGGTCAATCTCTAGACGTCATTTACTAAAAATTGACATAAAACTTGTCAAAAAATAACAATAATTATAGAAATAAGGATAGAAAGTTTCAGGATACAAAAATCTATTTCCAAAAAATTATTTTTCCCAAATTTTAATCTACACTGGCAGTAAGCGCAATTGTAAAAAAAGAAGAGTACGGGCCAAGTAAATGACGACTAGGGCTTGACCTCGCCAAAATTAACATCTATCGTCATTCCCCAGCCGTCTTTGACGCGTTTTTATTTCGATCGTAAGGTATTTTATGTAAACATTACATACAGTAATATTTATAAAAATATGTGTGTATGAATATAAATATATTTTGTAAATACATAAATAAATGTATGGTTCCGCCTTGGATTGTTCCTCCTCCCGTAGTATGCAAATCTTTGTTAGTACATGCCAAACGCTCTGTATCTGGCTCATTTATGAGAAACAAATTTGCTGAAATATCATCCAAATACAATCCTGAAAACATAATTTATACTGATGGTTCATTAACCAGTGTTCACACTGGTTGTGCTTTTGTCCACAGAGAAATACATAGTCAATTCCGATTACATTCCTACAATGATATATTAAATGCAGTTCTAGCCATTAAGGAGGCTCTAATATATATTGTTTCTTGTCCTCGGGCTTCTTGGCTGATATGCTCGGATTCATTATCTGCTCTACTATTATAGAAAAACTTTACCCCCAACATCCTTTTGAAGCACATATAATGGATTTGCGACATAGGGCAACTAGCCTAGGCTCCAATATATCTGTATTGTGGATCACTAGCCATGTGGGCATTATCGGTAATGAAAGCGCTGATTATTACGCGAAAAATGCACGTCTAAACGGTACCGATAGGTTATCAGTTTATTTCACGGGTTGTCTGCTCACAAAAATCGCCGACTGTGCAAATTTCTGGTTCAACTGGAGTGGGATCTTCTGAAGGAACCTAACAAACTCTGGAATGTAAAAAAACATTCTTCTGTGGTTTCTCCACATCGAGTTATGATCGTCGTACAGCCGTAGTAACTGATAGACTCGTGATAGGAGATTGTAGGTTTTCTCATCAATTTTTGCTTAAGGGCCAACCACCGCCTCTATGTGATAAATGTAGTAATCCTTTAACTGTCAAGCATATCCTTAAGGAATGTAATCAGTTAATTAACCTAAGTGAGGCCTGCAATCTTTCCTCAGACATGTCAGTTATTTTTTCTACAAGTGAGCAACCAAAACTTTTTGATTTTCTGTAAAGATCGGGATATATATCTAAGATATAGGTATCTAAAAAGCTACATTTTGGTTTAAAGCAACCAGTTACTAATTCAATTGTACATATTTTTACGTTTTATTGTTTTATTCTATGTTGTCTGTACCATTTACTTTTTATTTTTACAAAATCAATGTATGTACTGTACTGTTATATATAGTTATATACAATCTGTCTATAAGCGTGTTGTTTAGTAAAATGTCAAATATTGGTACCGAACTAAAATAGCAGGTGATACGCCGCTAAATAGCCTTTGATGCTGATGCGGCTTGAAAGCTAAATTTCTTCTTCTTCTTCTAAATGTATGGTATTGGCACCGCAAAGACCTCTTGTCTTATCGTCAAATATCTTTCTTCAATTTCATTCTTCAAGGTAAGATATTTGTCTAAGACTTTTCAATGTGAACTCCTGTAGTACCAGGACTACATCTTTATCTCTATCTTCAGTTTTATTTTTATGCTCCAATTCTTTGGGTTCATCTTCAGAGAGGCCAACATGTGATTGAAGTAGGTCTTATGCAAATTACTAAACTCGGCTCCTGGATAGACTTTCCTAAATCAGCAGTTTCTTTAATTTAATCTCTTATACCAAGCACCTCAACGTGGGACAATTTCGGACCATATATGGCCAAAATCTATGTTGCCATTTCTCATCGTGTGTTATGTTGGGCCCCAAAATAAGTGTGTGCCGTTTATTTTTACACCTCGCGGACCATATAAGCCTTTCCTATTTAATATGGAATTAATAAATTAATATACTTCGTAAAACAATGAACTCAATAACACCTTCAAAACAAAGATGTACAGGGTGGGTCGAATTCGACGCTTTTAAATGGAAACACCCTTTTATATAGGAGATAGACAAAAACTAATATCGGTGTCTGGAGCTCAATTTTTGTCAAAAACATGATGGTGAAAACCGCATATCGATATCTGTTACCGTTTCGGAGTTACGGGGTGTTTTTCAAAAATATGCATTTCTAACAAATCGCTGTAACTTTTTTGCTATGGAAAATGTTGTATTTTTATGAAAACATTTCTAAAGCACCTTTTTACGTAGAATTTAATGGTTTAAGTAAAATTTTTTTAAAATTAATAATTTAAGAATTATCAACAGAAAATTTGATTTTTTATACGGGACACCCTCTATATTTTTAATTAACTGAAAAGAATTTAAAATTACCTTTCCAAAAATATAGCACACTTGATATTTTATTATAATCCCCTTCGAAATACAGAATTTTTAAAAGTTCGCCACTTTTAACTAGTAGGCTTTGGACCCCTTATTGATGATATGCCCTTAATGGAACTGGAAAACATATTTTTCCAGCAAGACGACGCACCGCCTCTAACGCTGAAGTTATCAGCAAATTTTTGCAGCCAATTTCAAGAATAATTGAATAGCTAACCAAGATCCCAGCCGTTGGCCGTCAAGGCCGCCTGACTTAGTGCCCATGGATCTAATCCAATGGATATATTTGCGGAAGAATAAAGGTTCCTTATTCTTCCTTATAATCTACACAAGAATTAGAAATACTTAGCAGTTATGAGGTAGAGGGTATCTTTTACCCCCACTGAGTTAAAGAATTCCGCGAGAAATGTTTTAAAACTGCCCCGTCTGTCCATAACAGAAGACGGTCGATATGTCAAACAGCAAAATCTCATGTCTTGGTTTGCTATTTATTTTTATTACCGATTAGATATAATATTTTAAATGTGTTGATGTTAGTTAAATATATTTTAAATTGTTATAAAACTCTGTATTTCTCATAGCAAATATTATTTTCCTTTTAATTGATGCTCACAGCTAGAATTTTTTTGCATTACAGCCAGTGCCGTTCAAAGCCTACTTATTTAAAGCGGGCGAATTTTTATATACTCTATATCTCGAAGACGAATCAAGCAAAATATAAAGTGTGTTATATTTTTGGAAAGGTAATTTTAAATTATTTTCAATAAATTAAAAATATACAGGGTGTCCCATATAAAAAATCAAATTTTCTGTTGATAATTCTTAAATTATTAATTTAAAAACAATTATACTTAAACCATTAAATTCTGCATAAAAAAGTGCTTTGAAAATGTTTTCATAAAAATACAAAATTTTCCATAGCAAAAAAGTTACAGCGATTTGTTAATAATTAATGAATATTTTTGAAAAACACCCCGTAACTCCGAAACGGTAACAGATATCGATATGCGGTTTTCACCGTCATGTTTTTGACAAAAATTGAGCTCCAGACACCGATATTAGTTTTTGTCTATCTTCTATAGAAAAGGGTGTTCCCATTTAAAAGCGTCGAATTTGACCCACCCTGTACTTAACAACAGCCTAAAATCCATACAAAATAACTTATTATTTTTTCTCAAAAGACACTACAAGATTAAAAAACTTTGTGTTTTCTAGAACTTTCCTAAAAAGAGGATAAATATTTTTATTGTAGATTAAAGCAAGATTGAAACAAGCGCAAGAGAAAATTCGAGAAGAAAACCTTCGTCTTCAGGAACAACTAAATGATGCAGTGAAACTTCATGAAAAGTTGAAATATCAAACTACCAAGCTGCTTTCGTCTAAATACTCCGCTACAAGACTAAAACCTTATGGGCCTAAATCATCACCTCCTTACTCAACAGGGCCTAAATCGACATTACCGTTCCCTACAGGGCCTATCACGCCTTCTAATGCTTTGAACGGTCCAGTCATTGATGGTAAGTGATTTACTTCTTTTTACTGAATATAATAACAGAAATATAAGTAAATACAATGCGCAAATAGTCCCTAAGGTTATCATAAAAAACATTGTAATTACAATGAATATACTCTTCAAATTTTATCATCGATTGATATTTCAAAGTCATAGCGATGCTGTTTTTTCGAGATAATAAGGTATAATTTCTAACATATAATTTTATTGAACAATATGTAATATTATTTTACCTTCTAGGTTATTTTTATAAAAAATTATTTTTGTTTTGATTTGCTTAATTCTCTAAATAATAATACATTTACTGATATTATTTTGAAGATAGGGACTAATTATAAAATATATCTATCTGAAAATGTATATATGTTACGGCTAAAATGGATACTAACTGAAACCGCTATTATTTTGAAGGAATCCGCCCATTCTTGCAAAATAGCAGGCAGTCAACGGCTAGTTTACAAACTAGCTGGTTAGTTTGCAAACTATATATTCGTATTAGATAATGTCATAATAATTTTATATTTTTGTTTTCATATTAACTAGTTATTTTAGTTAGTTTGTATAATAATCATTTATAATTTTGGCTAATGTGATAACTCCATTAGTTTTAGTCACCCAAAATAGCAAGATTCTTGGCTAGTTCACGAACTAAAATCCTTGCAATTTAAGAGTGAGATTATGCCTATACATATTATATTCTTTATGTTGAAGAGCTTACTTGTGTTTCTGTGTTTGTACGCGTATTTATGTGATTTTGTCAGCTTAAGGAGGGTTCAAGTAGCAAAATAAATAAAAAAAAGTAATGATTAGTTCTAAAATTGGAGCATTCAAACAGCCAAATAAAATAATAAATATACTTTTGCAAATGAGCAATACGTTAAAATTGGATAAATATTTAGTTTTCTGTTTAGTAGTTGTTTATAATAATTTTAGTATTTGCAATGTATTTATTTATTCAACGGCAATATACTTATCTATTCGTATTCAAATTCTGCAATAAAATAAATCCAAATCCTGAAAGTATTTCTGAAATATCTCTTATATTATTTTTTACTATTCTCATTTTATCTTATTTTATTTCTGTTTGAACCATTTCAGTAGTTATGTACTATACGACTTTCCGCTATATATTTCGTTTTATTTATTTTTTCGTTAGTTTGTGTTTAAAACTTGTTAAAATTTATTTTTATAAATAAATGTTTGAAATGAAAATTAAATTTATCATTTTATCATATTTTCCTATCCATCCTAACACTGTATATTGTATATTTACCAACAAAAACAATTAAAATAAATTCTGTAAACTATCTGGTAAGTATATCAACTAGCAGCTATTTTAGTAAACTGAGGTAAAATCCCCATCTTAACCAGATTTTGAAAATAGTTTGCATACTAACCAATCAAAACATAAACTAGCTGCGGTTGTCTGCTATTTTGCAAGAATAGACGGATTCCTTCAAAATAACGGCGCTTTTAATTAGTTTGCAAAATACCTGGCTAGTTTTAAAACTAGCCAAGTACCCATTTTAGCCGTAACATATATTATATTATTTTAACAAAAACTTAGAAGAAAATTCTTTGAAAGACTTCCTCTTTGTATGTTATTTTACATCAAATATATTTCACAAAACCTTAGTTGTTTTATTTATGTCAAACCAGCGATTTTTGGAAAATTACTAGTTCTGTGACAATAACAATGAACTTGAAAAGTAAAAGTTCAGATTTACTAAAACAATGCCGAAAGAAAGTGTAAATTAAATGAAAAATAAACCTCGTATTATTTTCCAATCTATTAATTCATTAATACAGAACTACCATACAATCGAAAATAAAACAGTGTTAGAGCTGGCTTGGATATAAAGACATGTAGTAGTTATATAGATGAAGAGGATGCCATTTTTTAAATCATGCGTTATATCCTGAAAAAAATGTCATTAAATAATAAATTACCTTCTTTTAGTTATACCCATTTACCAAATTAGATAACTAAAATAAAATGTTAATTTTTATTCAGACCCTGAAAATATGACCAGATATCCAATTTCAAAAAAAAACATGATAATATACTTCTCAAGAAGAATATCATTCAAAAACACAATTTTAATTTTCTTTTAACTAAAAATACCTAACTTAGAAATTATTCTGTATAACTACTAATATATATATATATATATATATATATATATATATATATATATATATATATATATATATATATATATATATATATATATATATATATATATATATATACAGGCCAGAGCAATGGATCTCTAGGCATAGGAATTACATGCATTGGAATGAAACGCCTATAAAAAGTCTATGCTTAAACAGAGATGGACAACAACTTCCCCGTTTCCACTTCCACTACGACTGTCTACTTAGACAAACTCCAATAAGATAACAAATTTTGAAAATTCCGCCACCTCCCATCCACTCATGATACCCATCTCCCTGCCCTTTATTTATCGCCATTATTTTATTTCCCTTCCCGCGCCTCCGCACCTCGCTATTCTGACTCCCGTCAGTTCATCACAGAGTTGCCAGGTCTACCGGTTTCGTCTGTAAGCTACCGATCTACCGATTTAAAGAAAAATCTAACGATATATTCAACTGCGTCTTTAGTTTTTACAATAGAAGCACTTATAAAAAGCTGACTTATTTGACTAAAAATTAAGCGACTGCCGTGTTGGAATCTGTATAATTTGACTTTATTATTGTTTCATTAAATTTTATTTAGTAATAACACACATACAGGTCATCGTTCTGTCTAGTTGCAGAGTTACAGAGATATTCCTAAAAATCCTTATTACTCCTTATTACTCCTTATTAGGCGCGGTATTGGCGACATGCCCGAAGAAGTTGATATCTTTTGAAAAGATTTTATTTCATTCATCTACTAAAGTTGAACCCATATTTTCCCCAAAAAATGTAAACAAAAAACAAAATTTAAGTTAAGAAACAACCTAAATTCGGACAAATATTTTAGTGATTTTCCCGTCAAAAAAATATATTATATGGAAAAAGAATTGAGAGTTGCTACAGCTTTCCCATTGAAATGAAATTAATTTTAGATATCACTCATCAAAATGTGTACAAAGAAGTGACTGCTACACTAATTTGTGACTGCTATCCCTACTTGTTATAGTTTTATATGTTTTTATTAATATATTAATATTATTTAATTAAATATTTATTTTTAATATCAAATAATATACCTAGCTATTTCTAATTCTTGTTATATTTATTATATTTGTATTTTATTTGAGTGATATATTATTACGACACATAGGAATGCTAATTTTGGACTTAAATATTATATTTTATTTTGTTTCTGTACTTTTGATTTTTGTTGAAGATCACCGAGAATTTTGTTCTCGTATGGAATTATAATCTAACCAACCCGGCAACCCTGTTCGGCTACTCCTTATAAAGTTTTTTTCGGCCTAATTCCTTTGTCACAGCCGCGGCTTTGTCAAGCGCCGCCGCCGACCGACTGTGTCGGGGCGACTGCTAGGAAGATCGTACAGTATTGCCATTTCATAGAATTGCACTTGCTATTTTAGAAATGATTTCAAAGTTTTGCATGTTACTTTTCGTTTTAGAAAGAAGTTATGTGCCTAGAGAAAACATTCTTAAAATTGTTTCGTACTTTATTTAATATTTCATTAAGTAGGCAAGATAATGGGATTAGAAGATTTAGGATTTTGACAAGCCAACATAATTTCGATTTAATTGAATGGCAACACTGTCCGTCCTGTTTCTATTTTTTCGATTCTGTTCTATTAGTAGGCGGTAGCCCCCACAAGCGTCTTAAAGACCCGCCCGGCGCCCCTCTCACAGGGGCTCTCTCTCGTCGTATCACTTCTATGATCACTTCCCTATACGATGGTAGGGAAAAGACACTTTATCCGTCTCTGTTGCACTGCAGTGTATTTTGCAGCCTTACCATCTTTTTTTATCGCATTGAAAACCTCCTATTGCTAATATTCCTTTGCCAGCAGTGTATATATATATATATATATATATATATATATATATATATATATATATATATATATATATATATATATATATATATATATATATATATATATATATATATATATATATATATATATATATAGAAAAATGTTTAAAATATATTTCACAGAAATAAAACTAAAAGCTATTTCAAAAGTCAGATGATGTACGTGAGTTTTAGCACCTAGTCAACAACAAACTTCAATAAAATCTACAATCTCGCATTCTTCTTTACAACTAAAAACTGAATGGGATCATGAAGAGAATGCAAGCGTGCTAAAAATTCGTCATGCTGTTAACCACAAAACCCGTCGATATTTGGTTCGAATGATGAGTGTAAAAACATCGTAAAAATAATCTTAATTATTTATTAGAATACTTAATAAAAACGATCACAGGAGAACGTAAATTATTAACCTAAAAATATGGTCTCACTATTAAGGAAAAATCAAAAATATAGAAAATTAAGGAAAAATCAAATATATACACACATGGCCAAAATTATCTTTTAAAAATATACGGAAAGGAATTTAAAGAATCTTTTTTTATACATAGCTTTGATAATCTGTAATAAACATTTTTTGTTAAAATGAATATGGTAAACAATGTTTATCGTTAAGACCCAATATTATTACAAATTCTTGCACATTTCGATTTGTGGTCTCTTGGGTTTCAGAAGAAATTTGACCATCGTTTTCGCCTTAAAATGCCTAGAAACATTATTTCAAAGTTTAATAGAGTCAGTAACACTGTCTCAACAGGGCTACCGACAAGTTGCAATAGCTGAAATTGTAGGAGTTAACCAAAGCGATGTTTTGCGAATATTAAAAAAATCAGGGAGACAAAGGAGGTTACAGATCGGTCTGGAAGAAGAAAGTAGAGTTACTACTGCTGTGTAAGACTGTCAAATATCCCTAATTGCACGACGTAATCTTCTGCTTTCTAGTACTGCTATTAAAAATGAGTTAGCTCGCCTTGAAGGAGTAAATATTTCAAGAAAGACCATAGCAAGAAGACCCCATGACTTAATTTACAGCACAAAATTAGGCGACTACAATGGGCTGAGGAGATGAGAGCAAATGGAATTTAATTAATTAACTAATTGGAATTTCGTCATGTTTAGTGATGAAACAAGAATAAGACGCGCGACGAACTTTGGTCTGGAGAGCATCTGGAAGACGAGCACGGTTGAATCCAGCTCAACCCCGTGTCTCATTTCAAGGGGGAAGCATTATGGTATGGGCAGGTATAATGCACGGAGATCGAACTCCTCTTGTTTTTATTGATGGCACAATAACAGGTGCCTCATATCTTAGAGACGTTTTAGAGCCTATTGTGCGACCATTTCGAGGGGCAGTGGGGGACGAATTTGTTTACATGGACGATAATGCTCCTCCCCATCGCACTTTAGCGAGTCGCGAATTTTGTGAGGAAGAGGGTATAAGAAAACTGTGATGGCCACCGATGTCTCCAGACATGCTAAAACGCCATATTGCCAAAAGGAATGATCCTCCCCGTACCTTAAATGAATTGAAAATTGCTGCGCGCGAAACATGGGAAGCCATTCCTCAACAGCCTAGTTGGATTTAGATTTTTAATTTTATATTAGTTAGTCGTTTAGTAAGCCAATATGTCCAAAAATATAAAAAGAATCATATTAGGTCCAAAACAAAATAAAAATATAGCTTTATGCAATAATTTTGGCCATGTGGGTAAAAGAACTAGAAACATCTGCATCTAACAAAATGTTAAATATTTTAACAGCCATAAATATCACTACAATAATAAATAAAGCAATAAATAACTGATTATTAGAGTAACATTCTAATAATAGGATAATCATATTTATTGATGAAATTGATGAACGGAAACTAAATACTAAACCACTCAGAATTATTTACATATAAAGTTGGTTTATAAATAAATACTAAATTGTATTTTTTTAGATACAGGCATCGACTTACCAACAGGATACATTCCAGAACCAAGTGGTCCTCAGAAATCGCCAGCTATAGCTCTACCTCAACCAACCGGACATCAGCTAAATCAATTCAATAATCAATACTACCCCTTCGAACAGTTACCTCAATCACCCGTTAACTTTAGGCCAACTCAATCACCAATTTCTCAAGGACCAGTCTATCATCCAGAATCGGTACAACATGATCCTCATGGTCCAATATTCAAACCATCTCAAATAGCCAGTACAGTTCAAAGCAGTAATAATAATTATGGAACAAGTTCGGATGTTTTGTTCCAAAAGGCTGTTGAAGTTGATCCAAGGAATGGAGCTGTAATAAATAGAAGACAGGATATCAAATCGGATTCTTCTAAGGAAATTCAGGATATAACAAGAATAATAGATGCACGAGTTGAAAACCCATCAAATAAAAAAATCACTCAGGATGTAAGTACAAATAAATAATTTACATAAAACATTAATCACAAACTATTAGACTCTGACAAGTCATTTTCGGAAAATCTATTTATCACATTTTTTTTTCGATAATAAAACTAAAGAAATATCCAAACTAATCGTATCGGAAACAACGGTACAGCCTGTAATAAAGTAAGTGGGTAGTAAAATATCATATCAATTAAATATAGCTTCACTATGTATATTGCTATTGTTATTGATTGTTTTTCTCAAAATTAATGGACCGTCCTATTCAGGAAACACTGCGACCTCTAATGTACAGGGTGTCCGACTTAAGATGGATACAAGCCAATATCTTGATTGTTTGTTGAGCGATCTTTTTCATTTTTGGCAAAAGGCTGTATAAGATGTACATTTTGCCCAGGGTAAGAAATGCGATACCTCATAGACGTTACGTTTTAATGGGGTTTGATATTTTTCGAGTCAAGAGTAAACTACCCTTAGGACAGTATTTATTTCAAATCTGATAAATTATATTGAATCCTTCTTACCCAAGATACTTAAATTCTAATTTTGATAAATATAGATACAGGGTGTGTTATTAAAATAAGACATTTTCATTTTTATTATTATTTTTTAAGTACTTACGACGCCACTGGTTTATTATCAATAACCAATTATCAATTAATAATCGATTTAAGTTTTTAGATAGCTTTCATAATAATTAAGATACGATACAAAAAAAACTAAATATTTTTAATTTATTTTGTTTACTTTAAAAAATTGTTTTTTAAGTTTGCTAATACAAATGAATAAAATGAGTTACAAAATAATTTAAAAACCTAGTTTTCAATAGAATCTGATATATGATTTTTATTCGTTTTATTGAGGAATATTTTAAAAAACCCAAATAGTTATTTAAAACAATCCCTATTAACTTTGGAAAATATGCTACAAACAAAGATTTATAAAACTATAACAAACTAAAAGTCATCATCTTCGACCATCTTCAACCAAACTTAAATGGATTATTAATTGATAATTGGATATAACTGGTTATTGATAATAAACCAGTTGTTTATCCAGTGGCGTCGTAAGTACTTAAAAAAATAATAATAAAAATAAAAATGTCTTATTTTAATGACACACCCTGTATCAATATTTATAAAAAAATTGAACTTAAGTATCTTAGGTAAGGAGGATTCAATATAATTTATCAGATTTGAAATAAATACTGTCCTAAGGGTAGTTTACTTTTGACACGAAAACTATCAAACCCCATTAAAACGTACGTCTATGAGGTATCGCATTTCTTATCCTGGGCAAAATGTACGTCTTATAGCCATACAGCCTCCTACCAAAAATGAAAAAGTCGCTCAACAAACAATCAAGATATTGGCTTGTATCCATCTTAAGTGGGATAACCTGTATATGGTGATTGTGCCCTTTCTATATCTGTACCCAGTCTCCTATCTCTGTGACCTACACCAGCTTCTGTAGGTAATTGATAGGGGTGGGAGCATAATTCCTCCGATTCTAGCCTTACTTTCCCAAATAGATAGATTCTGCTTGTGATCCAGAGCCTCGCCGTGATATATTATGGGTTTTGCTGTTTCAAGGTCTTTAACGCACGTTTCAAGGTCTTTAGCTGCACTAAAGACTTCCTTTATACAGTTTGAGCTTGTTCATATAGAACTTGGCAGCCATAGGTCCCGTCAAGAGACCTGCTGTTATCCGTACTTCATCACCAGACCGTTTTGTGGTTTTAGAATTAGGTCCTTGGATTATATTGTTGCCAGGGGCACATGCCTTACTATGCCGGTGCCCCTGGCAAGGATCCTTGTTCTGCTATCCTCAAGAAGGCATGTGCTTGTTTCTTCATCCAATTTCCTTAGACGCCGCGATGACCGGCTATCCAGAATGATTTAATAATGTCCGTTACTGTCAAGTCCGTGAGTTTATGCAGGCATTTTCAAACGATTCTCGACGATACGACTCGTGAAGGATTTATGTGTCGCCTGACTCTCTGTTCATGTATTGATGAACTTTCCTGAGTAAGCTCTTCTAAAGTTTTTGATAGTGCTAATGAAGTGCACTTTGAAATAATTACAGCTAAGCATTAAAACTACATTGTTTGAATATACAGGGTTGTTCACCACATACGACACGGTGTATTGTAGCTGAACGATTAGATTTTTACAAATTGTAAGTTTTGGGTTTGTTGAAGGACTATTAGAGCTACAATACAGAGATACAGAGTGTCCAAAATAAATAAAAAATTTCAAAGTGTTATTTTTTAAATGGAACACCTTGTATATTATTACATTTTTAGTTTCTACGATTAAAATATAGATAAATTTAATTAAGGTTTATTCTAATTAAACCTTACCGTTTTTGAAATATTTTCAGTTTTGTGAAATAAAAAGTAAGGCAGTAAAAATTTTAAGGCTTCATTTCTCCAAGGGTATGAAAGTTTTTATTGCAAAATAAAAACACTAAATCACCACAATACACCAAAACACTTTTACTTTTACACTGGACGCGCGTTTCGCTAACCATGTTAGCATCATCAGCAGATGATTATAAACTGAAAGTCAGTTTATAATCGAAAAATCGCGAAACGCGCGTCCAGTGTAAAAGTAAAAGTGTTTTGGTATATTGTGGTGATTTAGTGTTTTTATTTTGCTGTGTAACACCAAAGGTTCCAACCCTCAACTGTAAAGTTTTTATTACTAAATATTTACTGAAGTTTATTTATTGATCAATTATTGTGTTGCTATAATTAAAATAATACTACCTCATATAGAGTGTCTAAAAATTTATTTCAAATAATTTCTAGCTTTAAACGGGAATAACTTGTTTATTTTAAATAGAACACCCTGTATATTTTAGGAGAATCAGATGCCTAATTTAATTGCCTATCAAATTGTATTATACCATTTTTACCTATCCGTTCAAGTTTTCGTAGAAAATGCAATTTCTTATAATTTAGACCTCATTTATCAATATACCCATGGAATATTGACATTTTAGATTGTTTTCAAAGCAACAAATGTACAAAATGTACAGGTGCTGAAAACGATAATATTACCAGCTCGTTTGTATACAAAAAGAAAACTATTTAAATCTTTATAAAACAGTATACCAATGAAATATACCACCATTATTTCCGCCCAAATATTAATTAATTACACACTTAACTGTGTTACTTAATAAATTATTCTAAATAAATGTGGATATGAATCAGAAATCAATATAATCAGTGGCGGTTAGAGAGGGGGGGGCCATGGGGCCCGACCCCCCCCCCTAAAATCTGTAAATTGGGTTAAATATTAAGCTTTTGGGTTAAAAATGGCGCCCTAAATTGCATATTCTACATTACTTTTTATTTGCCCCCCCCCTTAAAAATAAATTCCTGTATTCGCCCTTGAATATAATAATAAGTTATGAAAATGAACGTCGCTGTTGTTATAAATAAGCATTCGTCAAAAAATGAAATAAATTGTTTACGGTGTTACTTTTTACCACACTTTCTAATACACATACAAAATTCACACATTCAGTTTTTTAATATTTGGAGCAATTATTATATCAATCAACGCAAAGAGTCAATTATAGTTTGAATACTGGAATCATATTAATTGGTCCTCTTTAACAAATATTTAAACATTTTTTTTATTTTTTAATAAAATAAACGAACTATGTCGACCATATTAGTATCTGTACGCTTTAAAAATTTGTTACATCTTTAAAAATAATCTAAAATGTCAATATTCCATGGGTATATTGATAAATGAGGTCTAAATTATATGAAAATGCATTTTCTACGAAAATTTGAAGAAATAGATAAAAATGGTATAATACAATTTGATAGACAATTAAATTGTGCATCTCATTCTCAGAGAATATACAGGCTGTCCCATTCAAATTAAACAAGTTATTGCCGTTTAAATCTAGTAATTATTTAAAATAAATTTCTAGACACTCTGTATAAGGTAGTATAATTTTGATTATTGCAACACAATAACTGATCAATAAGTAAACTTCAGTAAATATTTAGTATTACAAACTTTGATACCCTTGGAGAAATGAAGCCTTAAAATTTTTACTGCAATTTCACAAAATTGAAAATATTTCAAAAACTGTAAGGTTTAAGTGTGATAAACCTTAATCAAATTTGCCTTTATTTTAATCGCAAAAACTAAAAATGTAATAATATACAGGGTGTTCCATTTAAAAAAATATAACATTGATATTTTTTATTTATTTGGGACACTCTGTATCTTGTAAAAATATTTTTAAATTGTTCTCGTTCTAATAGTTCTTCAACGAACCCAAAACTTACAATTTGTAAAAATCTTTTCGTTTAGCTACAATACTCCGTGTCGTATGTGGTGGACAACCCTGTATATTGTATATACAGAAAATAACATTGCAAGCAAAAAATATTGGCTAGAATACAAATTAAAAAAAATAGGAACAACGTCTTTGTCAAGAACTTAAAATGTTGACTCTAGGTTTTTTTTAAGAGCAGATCGCCTATTTCACTTCTATATACTCTGCTATTTCACATATTGTACAGACGTTCCACATTTTTCATAATTTTGTAATGAATATACTTATTAATAAGTACCTTAATGCGGTTGTAATGCGGACCAGTGCAATTATCCGTTTGGCTCAAGAAAGGGAGGAATTCCAATTGATGGTCGCCAACCTCCGATGAGGAGAAGGCACATGAAGAAGAAGAATACTAATACCAAACAAAAAAAACTTGAAGAAACTGCCTTTGATTTTATATCTTCCATTTCTTTAAATACATTTATGTTGTCTATATCTAATAGCATTAGTTAATAAATTATGTTTTACTCTTAACATTTTAGGATATCTATATTTTTCTTCTAAATATTTTAGGATATCTACCAAGCGGCAGCCATAACTTTTGACCCATCCTATTCACCGATACTGGATAAGATAGATAAAGTCCTAATGGGAATCGGCTTCAAAGATGAACCCTGTAAGGAGAGATTAGTCTGTAGTATGTACAAGAATCCCACCAAGTACAGTCCGTATAGTAATTTGCTGTCGGCTGAACTAAGCAGGTAAGCAGTTTTCTTTAATTTTAATTTCAGAACCATGTTATCAAGATTAGTTCTTTACATGAACAAAATGCCATTCATAAGCCTTGCGATTAACTATTATGCGGTGCTTGACAAGCAATTACAAAAATGGTCACATACAGTGAGCCAACAAATTTCTACAATAGCGAAAAAAATTACAAGGACAGAGACAAGTAAAAAAAAACGCCAAAATATACAGCAGATTTCATAAGTATAACCAGGAAAATTGTCTAAACTGTAGTGAGTCTACTAACAGGTGGGATTAATGGACGAAGACATGTGCAGATTTTGTCAATTAGAAGAAGAAATATCAGAACACATTTTGTCAATGTCGGTTTGTCAAGTCCAGCAAATGTACGGTTTTTTGTATTAGGCAGAGATAAGCCATTTGGAAAGAGCTATATACGGGGTTCAGTCTCCAATATTTTTTGAAAAGGATGCTATTGGAGAATGTAAGATAGAGACCAGCCAGTACTGTAGCTTTATTTATTTAAATAAAAATATTTATTTATCTAAATAGAGCGACCATCGAGCCGCCACATCAAGTAAGGCAATAGCAAACCACCTTGAGTATATTTGTCCAGTAGAGCCTCTCAAATAGTACCGTACGAATTCGACGATAAACTGTAGATCTCGTGTACTTGTAAACATTGATGACACATATTACAAGTACATGTGAGGAATCGTCAACAAAAAGATCAGAGAATGGCAATAACAGATCAGTAACGATCGCAGTAGAATAAGCCTATATCCACCTGAAAGAATATAATATCTATACCGGGTGTTGCATCGTCGAGCGGGACATAGGAAATCCCATGTAAATTTTAATGGGGTCAATTATTGGCTTCCCTAATTATTTTAGAGAATAATTCTATTTAGGTTTATTAAAGAGCACTAAAACCCACATTCAAAAGAATACCTTTAGATATTTTTAATTAGCGCGTTTACTAGTTATCGCCGATTTCTTTTTAAGTATTTCTTCTTTCTTATGGCCGTGTATTTACTTATGAGCACCAGTCAAGGTAAAAGATAACTGTCAAGTGAAGTTGTCATTTCAGAAATTTATCTATTTTTTTAAATATAAATATTTAGTGCTTTATTATTATTATTAAAAACTCATACCTACATCGAAAATATTAGCCATGAATTACACTACCGAAGAAACAATATTGATGATTAAATGGTATTATCAAGGAAATAGTTGGTAAGGTGTCGGACATGTTTGCTGCTCTGTATCCGAATAGACTGATACTTGGAAAATTGTTTTAATAGTTTTAACGGAAACGTTATTGGCCTAAATCATACAGTAAATTGGCCAGCAAGGTCTCCTGATATTTCGCCAAATGATTTCTTTCTCTGGTGCCATTTAAAAAACAGGATATACAAGGATAAAAAATACCTAAATCTAGACGAGTTAAAAAATGCTATTTCTGCCGAATGTAATAGAATTTCAGTTTACCAACTAGCGAATGTAAGAAGAGAATTTTATGATCACCTGGGTTATTGTCTAGCAGTCGATGGAGGAATATTTGAACATCTTTTGAAATCCTCAAGTTCTAACAATTTAATAGTACCTAAATTAATAAGTTATTGAATATTGTAATAATACTATAATTAACCTTGTAATTGATTACTTTATTTTACTTTAATTCATATTAATTTGTATTTATAAATACATCTTTAAGATTTCCGATTTAGGAATGAGTTATCAATAATAATAAGGCACTAAATAGGTAAATTTATGAAATGACAACTTCATTTGACAGTTATCTTTTACCTTGACTGGTGCTCATAAGTAAATACAGGGCCATAAGAAAGGAGAAATATTTAAAAAGATATGGGCGATAACTCGTAAACAAGCTAATCAAAAATATCTAAAGTTTTTGAATGTGGGTTTTAGTGCTTTTCAATAAACCTAAATAGAATTATTCTCTAAAATAATTAGGGAAGCCAATAATTGACCCCATTAAAATTTACATGGGATTTCCTATATCCCGTCCGACAATGCAACACCCGGTATAGTAAGTTTCTTTTATTAAATAAATGGAGCTCTGCAATGCATGATACCTCCAAAGGATCTGTAAAAAAATCTGTAACGAATTTTTTATCCATAAAATTATCTTGTCTTTTGCTCTTCTTGAAATACAGAGTTTTTGTAATAAATATTTAAATATTTTACCAAATTTTATTTGTGGTGTATGTATGAGTCTTCTGTTTGTGTTCTACCGTCATAGGACGAAACAAAAAATAACTAATTTTTTCCCAACTTCGTAGAGAACCATACAGAATTATCATTTATGTGTACCGGTAAAATTAATTAATACCAACTGTGACAGCTGCTTCTTAGAATTTTCAACCCATTCATAACATTGTTTACATGGAAAATCTACGACAGGTCAAAACACCGAACCGAACGTATTACTAAAACCGTGACTTTTTTCGGAATTTTTACGCCGTTACCCACTTTCTCATAGCATCTTTTCGACCGTGATCCACTTAATTCACTTGTACTTCCTACGGTACCGGTTTTCATATCAATTCTAATCGGTAATTACTCAAAACTCATTCGAAACATTTCGCTAAACACTGTTATTCTTTTGGCGGAAATGGGTGTTTGCGGAAGATATTATTAAGTTTGCGGAAGATATATTATTAAATACTTACTAGCCTACGAGGTATCACTATGGTTCGTTTTTTTAAACTCTGCACCAGATTATACAGATAAATATATTAATATGTTAATTTATGCAACTTCGCTCATATAATATGTTAAAATTTTGAGTGACATTTTTGAGTGGGCAATTTGAAATTTATTATTAAAAAATTAAATCTATTATTAAATTAATAAGAATAATAAAAACTGTTGGTATCTGCTCAATTTTATATACCGGGTGTCTCACTAAGAATAGTTCTCGGCTGTATCTCGGAAAGCATTAGCCGTAGGACCTATAGAAAAAAAATATTTATAAATAAAGGGGCTATGAGAAATTGTTGGAAATTATTTTCAAGTTTATAAAACGGCCGCTAGAGGGCGCAGCTACTATGGAAAATAAGAAAATAGAATTTTTACAGAATTTTTCCTAAATAATGGGTACTATAAATAATAGCTTCATAATCTTCCATTCCATTAGAACCATTTTCCCCTATCTGCTAAAATAAAGTGGTGGGGTAACACTAGATCTATCTTTATTTAAATGCTAATAAATCCGGACTGGATGATCAGAATCCAACAAACGAGGGCTCGTTTTAAAGAGCGTTTCTTACTCTATATTATACCATAAAAATAATAATAATAAGGTTTAGAACGTAGACGCTAGGGGGCGCTCCCTTACAATTTAACAAACATAGCGCGTTTTTTCAAAAAAATTAAATACGATAGTATATGTAATTTTACCTGATAGTAAAGAATAGTAAAAGCTTAAAATGTCAGCGAAAACAGTATCTTGATATCTTCTTTCAAACCGAAGATATTAGCAAAATTATCATAAATACCAAAAAATAAGCCCTTAACGGTAAGCCCTCAACACGGTATCAGTAGTCCTCTTGATTATGCCCATTCTAACAAAACAATAAGATAGAAACAGTTAGTTTATTTTAAAATCGACGAAATACCAGAATACCATAATACCAGATGTATTAATGTCTAATAATTAAGATATTAATAACAATGAACAAGAAACGATGATTCAGTGAAGTCATGGTAGGCTTTGGAAAAAAGTTGCTTTGGCGTAATAGAATAAACGTCAAATTGTTATTAGATCAACAGTTTGATAGTCTTTGCAGCATGTTTTATCTTTTAAATGCTTTTTCAAAATGCCTTTATTATTATTTAAAATAGGTAGTTGAAGTTGTTGGCATTTTGAAAAAGCAATTAAAAGATAAAACATGCTGCAAAGACTATCAAACTGTTGATCTAATAACAATTTGACGTTTATTCTATTACGCCAAAGCAACTTTTTGCCAAAGCCAACCATGACTTCACTGAATCATCGTTTCTTGTTCATTGTTATTAATATCTTAATTATTAGACATTAATACATCTGGTATTATGGTATTCTGGTATTTCGTCGATTTTAAAATAAACTAACTGTTCCTATATTATTTTTTTGTTAGAATGCGCATAATCAAGAGGGGTACTGATAACGTCTTGTAAAAATAAGGTAATTAAGAGCTTATTTTTTGGTATTTATTATAATTTTGCTAATATCTTCGGTTTGAATTAAGATATAAAGATGCGGTTTTCGCTGACTTTTTAAGCTTTTACTACTCTTTACTATCAGGTAAAATTACATGTACTATCGTATTTAATTTTTTTGAAAAAAACGCGCTGTTTGTTAAATTGTAAGAAAGCGCCCCCTAGCGTCTACGTTCAAAACCTTATTATTATTATTTTTATGGTACAATATAGAGTAAGAAACGCTCTTTTAAACGAGCCCTCGTTTGTTGGATTCTGATCATCCAGTCCGGAGTTATTAACATTTAAATAAAGATAGATCTAACCTTCCCCCGCCACTTTATTTTAGCAGATAGGGGAAAATGGTTCTAATGAAAAAAATCCAAAATTTAGTGAAGATTATGAAGCTATTATTTCTGGTACCCATTATCTATGCAATATTCTGTAAAAATTTATATTTACTTATTTTCCATAGCAGTTGCGCCCTCTAGCGGCAGTTTTACAAACTTGAAAATAATTTTCAACAATTTCTCATAGCTCCTTTAGTTAAAAATATGTTTTTCCGTAGGCCCTACAGCTAATACTTTCCGAGATACAGCCGAGAGCTATTCTTAGTGGGACACCCTGTACACTCACCGGCAGAAAAAACCGGCCACTAAAACTAGTTCCAATTTCAAAGTTGGATTTCTCGCGAACCACTCATTAGATTTTGATGATTTTTTTTTAAATTGTAAATTAATTCCTTCTTAACGGATGCTACAACAGAAATTTTTATTCCGAATTTATTTTGAGCATATACAGGGCACAA